CTTGTGTATATATATATATATATATATATATATATATATATATATATATATATGAAGTCCCCAATCCATCTACACAATATCGATTCATAGTATTGATCGGTGGACTGCCTCTGAAAGAACTACCATTACAAATTACCCGGTGTTTCGAATGAGGTTTTTGGGACAAAAATCCACTTCCTGGGTACATGTGTAAGAATGAATAGACAGAAGACAAAAGATTACCGGATACGCATGCCCGACAAGCGGCAGGAATTTCGAAACCGGTCGTCTGCTTCCAATATGAACTCCCAGTGTTTTAGTCACCCGGTTCTTTCCCCGGGCGTTGACTTTCCGTCTTCCTCTTACCCTGAAAGGAATTATCTCGCGCTCCTTGAGGGCAGTTAATAGGGCTTCCGCAGAAGAGGTTAGTTGAGACGCAAGGGAGGTTCTAGGAGCATATCTCGAGGTGAACTGACATAATTCCGACAATACTGAAACTTTCTGGCCGAATATATAATCACTGAGCTTGGGTTCGTGCTCTGAAAAATCATCGGAACAATTAAATGCTATCCCCGCAATGGTTGAATGGTACGCACTACTGATGATTATGCACACGCGAATGAACCACCTATCCAAGGACTTCGATCAATCTACACACAGTTTGTGTGCTATCCGGTTTATTATATGCTAAAGTAGTCAAGCGGTTAATGCAACCAACTCCTCAGACGTGGTGTGTCTTCGAAACACACCACTGCTGCCTAGATTTTTCGTCGTATCCTATTATAGCCATACTATAGGTCATTTTCTGAATCATTGTTTTTCAGGTATGTATTCCATAAGCAGGAAGGAAGTAAGTCTAAAAGAAAAGAAGGATGTTGATGATTATTCGTTTCCTCCCTCCTCTTCCAAGTGCCCGTTGCACTTCCTGCCACTTATGTGACTGGTTTTGCAACGAGGTGACCAAAATGTTTTCATATTCATCGTTTTGTTAGCACCAAACTCCAGCCATACTTTTTCACGGGTTTCACTTATCGCTGATATAATCCCAAAGCTTTTTTCAGGGAATATACGGGTTTTACTCATACACACAAAAGCCTCATGTAACAGCACTTTTTTACACTGTATTCCGATTTGTCGCATACCTGTGGTAGGATCTGATTCCAATAAGCCTCGCGAAATATCGGGAGCAAGTTATTTTAGAACGAGGCCAAACACTCTCCGAGGAAACCGGTGCAGAAGAATAGAGTTGTCGATCACAGAGATTTTTTATCGCCGATTCGGACATGCTTTCTGGCGTTTTGATAACGAGCACAAACAGCTTCAATGGGCCACCGAGGAGTTGAAAAAAACCAGTGAATTCAGTGCGAAACTAAACGGCTAAACCCCAAATAAATGACCCCGTTATTTTTACAATTCACCGCGTATGTATATCACAGCATCCGAACCAAGTGAGGTAAGGACGTTGATATAGCATGATACCCAAGTTCATCAGGTCTTGAAGCGAGAACAAAATCTGGACCATGATACTCGCACACGGAGGGTTTTATCTATTCCTGAAGCAATAGGAATTTATGGGGTCCTCAACCCTCTCCTTGCATTGTGTCACATGAACAAAATCAGAATTATCTGTGTAAGGTCAAGCAGGCTTGGTTGTACACGATCGGCGAATCGAACCGGTATTAACAGCGATATCACTGGGGACATTTGGTTCCTCCAGTGCTGCCCGTGATCACACCCGTTACACCTCCATCATTCGTAATCCATTGTCCGTGGTCTTTTTCTTTGTTTTATTTTACTCACTCTGTTAGGACACAATGGCAATTTTTGTGGAAAGGGAAAATAGATTTAAAAACGAACTGTGATACTGCGAACGGTTTGAATCTGGTCTCCCAGCTCTATCGAGCTGCTGTCCATGGTACAGTTACTGCCCGATTCAATCTTGTGTTGTTTATCCACTAACCAGAAAATGTATGCCTGGTCCACAATTCATCATCTGAATTTGTTTGCACAAGTCTAGTTGAATGCCTCCTCCCGACAAAAATTCCTGTGCACGTGAACGGTCCTTCTACGTCATCTGTGAGGCGCCATTTTAAATATGAGGTTTGCACATGCATAAGTTTATGTTCATTCACTCTTTTCTGTATGTCTGAGACCCCTATGAAAGTGAGCGGCATTAAGAAACACGTCTCTGTTCCACTGAAGAGGCCCCTTTCGGAAATAACGTGACTCCCCTTCCGGATACCGTTTAAGGAAAGACCGAAATGGTCGATTCAAACCGGATGACGAGTTGAACGAGTGGAGACCAACAGCGAAATTTTCTGCGGGTATATGACCGATAAAATTGGTTAGATTCAAGTACTTTCTCACTCTCTCAGATGTTCGATGTACCATCTGATCTGCTAAATTTGATGACGCAGTCATCTCTGTCCGCCGCTCGTTCACGCTTATGCACTCAACCTTTTCCCTTTTTCCAGGTGCTCTATCTTTATCTGTTCGTGATACAGAAATGCATCGAGGCGAGACGGTGAAACACTACAAGATCAAACGAACCGGGAAAGCAGACGAGGTGTACATCACAACAAAGCAAGTTTTGCCGGACCTGAAAGCGCTGGTTGCGCACTATTCAGCACAGGCAGATGGATTGTGCTGTTGTCTCACCCGACCATGTCCACGACCGCCACCTGTACCGAACGACCTGTCGCGTCTAACACGGGACCAGTGGGAAATTCCGCGATCTTCACTAACCCTAATTGAGCGACTTGGCTCCGGTCAGTTTGGAGATGTATGGAAAGGTAAGTGATTCAAGTGGTTCAGTGTGTGCCTGTTTGTTTTCCCTCATCCGATGATTTGTTGATAAGGATAGAATAACCCCATTATGTGACTGAGTGTTCAACCTCCTTAGAACGACGACCAATAAATGATTATCGTCACATCACAGTTTTGTCGATCTAGATAGTCCTACTCTCCAGAACATTTGAATGTATTGTTCTGTATTAATCTGTGCGGACTAAAAATAACAAGACAAATTGATTGGCTCGAAGTCATCTTCGTGAATCCTGAAGCCTGCACCCTAACCCAAAATAGACAGAATTTTCTAACCTGAATGGGAAACAAGAATGCGGGTCACGCTGCTCTTTCCGAAGAAAGAAGCGTTTGTAGGAGGAACACGGTGTGGAGGTAACTCCTTTTTTATCAGTTTGAGTACTCGTTGGAGTAAGTCCATGCATGAGTCGATCACTGAACACGTACATCAGAATGCAGGTTAGTAGATGAGCTGAGGACAGCAAGCGCCATTAACTACGTGAAATCGGGGAACAGTCAAGCGGGCAACGAATCAGTTCAATACTGATCGTGGAGTAGAGTAGTTCAGCATGTCTAGCACACCTGAGTATGGGGTAGCAGTCAGTATTACCCAATCCATCCGTAACTCCATAGGCACCTGCAGAAAACACATCAATCAATGGTTGGGTCTCAACGACAGTTGCAATCTCTACGGTTCTATCACCTAGGTTACCCAAGCTCCTCTCTTGCTTTTTTGATGGATTTCACAAAACATCTTCCGTTTACGTATTCTATGTGAGTGAGTACACTTCTTTTTACTTTATCTGGAGTTTCATGAGTGGGGAGGAAATGGAGGTTACCGTCCGATGCAGATGATCTACACTGAGGCGAAAAAATTAATCAACTCTTCCTGGTTTTCGTATTCTCATAGCTTTCATTTGGAAAATCTACCGTAGAACAACTACTAATGCCCTGCAGAGTTAAGTTTTTCTTCTGCCATTGCTCACTGGATAAGGTTTTCATTGAACTCTTGTATTTGAAATCCTTGAGTTCTCTTGGAATTCACCTAAAGGAATAACTACTAATTCACTACAAGCAAGATGAAACGGTTTTGCCCAAGGCTTTTCAGTTGTAATTTACAAGGAATACTACTGTTTTATCAAACACTTTGTTGTGCGATTGCACATCAGACGGAGTAAACCACATAACGCCCCTGGGGGTTAGACGTGAGGTTTTACTTTACAGTATACTGCCCGTTCTAATTTAAATTGTACAGATGTTCCTCGTAGTACAGTTTAGTGGGACTCTAAGGTTTCTTTACAGCATTGTGACCTTTTATGCCAAAACCAGTTCGTTGCTGTGAAAAAGGTTGAAACAGATAATTGCACCTTGTGACCAAAATTTATTACGGACAGAAGTTGCATGCCATTTCTTGGTACCGGCATGATTGAACCCAATTTCTTAGTGTTACCTACCGTTCATGTTGCACTCAGTGTCTCAAAGATTTTGGTCTTCTGTCATATCTGACCGCAAGAGTACATGGACATTTCAACATCTACACTTAGTTTTGTACCACTCAACTGCAAACGCAGTGTATTAAAAACACTACTCCATCGAGCACACCATATTTGCACCTAGGATAGCCTACAAGCGGAGCTAGACCAATCAATTCTTGTCGAGAACGGCTACCCTGGCAGTTTTATTAATAAGTTCAGTCGGGCACCGGAGCACAAACCAACACTATACGACGTCCCTAAGAAGGTTTATATCTGCCTTCCCTTCAAAGTTGACGATACCAACTTGATTTTCCACAATCGGCTGAAAAATGCTACCAACCAAATCGTTCTGTACACAACTACACGCATCCCCACTCTACCCACAAAGCAACCCCTATCACTATCCGCCAAATCACACGTCATTTATCAGTTTGAATGTGGGTAGAAAAGATAGGCAGTTGCGTACGCGAATCCGGGAGCACATCCCATGGTGGGCTAGACCCCGATTGACCGAATCACGTGATAAAAGGTCATTCGCCAATTTGACCCCTCAAACCCACACACACGCATTACGCACCACTATCACTCAATAACATAGCGCCCCCATCCTCACCTAAGGGCACCGAACACACAAACAGCCACACAAAAAGCGTCATCTATCGTTGATGACGAATCATGTTCCGGACCCGACAAGCCGATTTAAGATCATGTTAACACCAACCCAGGTGCCTAGGTTTCTGGAGTCGGCTGCAANGCAATCAGGAACTGGAAACCTGGTCACTGTGTGTGCAAAAAGAACTGTGATGATTGGTCCCTGTCGTATTCTTGTGTAACATGATGTACTGTTCAATGATATAAACTGTAGATTTCGACCGTATTGAGATGCAGCGAAATCTGCTTTGACATAGATCGTGCAACCTAGCTTTTTGTGCGCTCTGTTCAAGTTTATTTCGGGAAATAAATGTTCCAGCACGACTGTGTTTGTTTCTTTAATTCACACTGAACGTGTCACAAACCGTTCCTAGATCAATCAAACACTTCCCTTTACTCACACAACGCATCGTGCAGCGAAATATAATCAAGTGAACTGCCCCGACAACAATCAATCCGTGTTTTACCTTTATTTCGCGCTGGAAAATCCGCTGAAAACAACTGATACAATCGGCCAGTATGGATTACTCGTGCATTTGTTCTGGTGACGGCTTCGAAGAGAATATTCATAGATTACCACCGATTATTTGTCATCAGTCACTAAATGAGTCTAGTAAAAAAACAGATTGGTCAATGTCTGTTTCTTCCCGAATAGTATATCAAAATTAATTTTGTAAAATACCCTATCCCATTGATCCCAATGGTCATTTTTTCGTGGTCAACTGTTGGGCAAAGAGGAGGAGACGATGCAACCCAAATTTTCATTTTCAACCTCAATGAGCTACACACAGAATGTTTGAATAATCAACTTTAATGAACAAAATATGCGGGTAATGCACGAACTCTTCTCAGTTACAGCCAAGCGTAAAATCGTTATACCTGTGGTTACCAACGAAGTGCGGTTAAAGGAGCCGTCTCACACGAAAAAAAGTGTTGAAACAACCTTTCCTCGATAGGAATTTGAATAAAGAACACAGCAGCACACTGTTGCACAATTTAAATTGCGAAACAAGTGTTCCCGAATAAAATTTCTGCCTCTCAGTTTGTAATTTTGCAATCGGGCCTTCAAATATACAGGTTTATAGTGACCAGTACTATTTGCTGGCAGATCACAGGGAACAATAATTAATGACAGACAAAAGCTGGCTGAAACAGTCTGCTGCAAATGTAATTGTGCGGGTTTCTAGGTTACCATTACGCCATGCGCTTTTAGCCTTGAAACCCGAAAGCGCTCCTTCAACTCTGAGCTCCACGCTGATTGGGGGCTAAATCACGAAAATAAATGGTAACAGCAGATAGATCATCACAAAACTTATCCCGAAGTAACGCCGACAATTCCGAATCAAACGATGATTTAGATGCTCACGATGTGTTTGTTCAAAGCTGCAGGGAGGTGCGCTGTTTTCGGTCTGTGATCAAAACAGGTGCGCATTGATATTCATCTTGCAAATTCGACACAATTGTGGAACGGGGACTAGTGAATTTTGCCGATATAGAACTAAATGCAATTCGTATTGCGAATCGGGAATGAATCTTCGAACCCATCTCTACAAAGAGTAAACAGTCAGAGGTGAAACACGCCGGTTTGGCAGTTATCCAGGGCAAATATTCGTGCCCGACAAGAGAAATCGGATTGCAGCCCATTGACGATCTCAATTGTAACAATCCAATCCAATTCTTCTTTTTTTAGTGAAACAGAAGCAGAACTTATCGGCTCGACGTACATCTTCTGAAAAGTAAATAAGTTCTATGGGATATCAGTGTGGGCGGAATTTGTACTTCTTTCTATTACAGTTTCTTCAGTGCAGGAAAAAGACAAATATCGCGAGACGTTAACAATTCGTTTAATCTTAATCGCTACCTTAAAACAAACAGGCACATATAACTCATGGGGTTATTCAATTGCGGTGAATGAACGCATACAAACACACAAAGACTACTGAGTATAGAAGTAGAAGTTCAACTCTACGGCAAGTACAGTATCAAAAACTTTTGTGCGCGAAAGGTCTGGTGATGTAATCGAATTAGCAGTGCTTCACGAATTGCCAAAAGTTTAGCATTACGATTACGTAATAGTGGTTTGAAAGACGAATTAGGGTCGACCGTGTGTCTTGTTGCATGAGATGTTTCGCAACAGATGATTCTGGATTGTTGTAATCACTTGGCCATCCATCAATTATCGGTTGCATCATCGATTTCACCAACCACTTTGGAATATATTAGGCCATTCGTTGCGAGAGCTGACGATTTGTTCTGCCTATATGTGCGTCACCGCAACTGAAGGTGAACTGGTGCGAGACAGAACCGGTTAGCCAACCATGTTTACGTTTGTCCAAATCAGTTCCACGCGTAGAGGCAACGAGTTTGAGTTGAGGGACTGTACAGTCTAGAGCTGACCTCAACTTATGGCACACATCACTGTAAATGTGGTCACCTTTTAACGCAAGGTTTAAGTATATAACCTTTTTGGTAACGTTTGGGATTAGGTTACTTTTTGGGAATGGTTTACTGTGGATGCCTATAAACCTTTCTCGATAGCCATTGTTTCCCAGTGTTCTCCCCAGGAAATCGTCTTCCTCCTTCAGTGTGTTTGGAGAACAGATGTTTCTCACCCGGTGAAAAAGGATTATCACAAGCCCGCTTTTGTAAGTCATAGGAGAAAACTGGAAAAGTGTAGATATTGACCATTCCATGTCACTTTTAGGTAAACTGAGAATTGCACCGTCACATTTATTCACCTTGTTACTGATATGTCTAGAAACGCTAGTGTTATTTGTTTCTACTTCATGACATACAGAGCGATGTGGATGGACTGAGTTAAAATACTGTAAAAGTGCTTCCAAATGTTCATCATCTGTAAGAATAAAAATATCGCCCACATCACATTTGGACAGGTTAGATTTGGAAATATTATCATTTAGTTTTTGCTCAACCAACCTAGAAACAAGTCGGCTAAAATCGGAACCAATGGACTGCCCATTGTTACGTCATCAATCTGTTTGTTTGTGTTCCCTTCAAACTCAAAACAAACGTTTTCTGTACATATCAGAATAAGTTCTCTTAAGTATTCAACACGAATATTAATTAGTAAACTATTTGAAGAGATAAAATCACTCAAAAAATTCATTGTTTCATAAAGTGGTACATTAGCAAAAAGCGAATCCATATCAACCGAATACATTCTCTGTAGGGATACGGTCATGTTTTCCAAAATGTTACCGAAATCACTTAATAAGGCATAATGAATGAATGAGACCAATGATATCTACCATTACCCGTGGGGTTGACCTACTTCTATGCTTGGTAATCTTTGTATGCTTTTACAGGTTCATTCACCATAGTCGAACAACCGCATGTGCTGTATGTGCTACATATGTGCCTGTTTGTTTTAACTTAGTGACTGGGAAGATTAAGCGAAACGTTCACATCTCACGATATTTGTCATCTTTTTGTATTGATGAAATAAATAAGGAGGACTCAATGCTTCAGAACATTTTCTATCGCCTAATACGTTCAGTTACTTCACTTAGTAACATCTTTGAATGGTTCTTCCGTGAAACATGGCAGCTGATGATAACCGATTAGTTATTATCGTTTCGAAAAGGGGTACAAAGCGTGCGTTTTATGTTACACGGCTCATTTTCTATCAAGTATTCTTTCATCTATCCATCAATGTGTGTATGCATCCCAAAGGAAAATTGGAGTGCCCTTCCCATACACCTAGATGTGAAGTGGAACTAACAGTCAATATTAAGCCCACTTTCTCGTGTTCTGTCGCACCCCTCCAGGCAAATGGAATGGAATAACCGAGGTGGCTATTAAAACTCTGAAACCAGGTACGATGAGCCATGAGGATTTCCTAAAAGAGGCCCGGATCATGAAACGTCTTCATCATCCTCGACTAGTCCGACTGTATGCTGTCGTGACCTCCGAACCAATTTACATTGTGACAGAATTGATGCCAAACGGAAGTCTACTTCATTATTTACGTGATGGGGCTGGTCAAGATCTGGGTTTAAAGCCCCTGGTGGACATGATGGCACAAGTAAGTTTATTGAATAGCAACTTGTACACAACATGGGATAATTTATTTCCTATTTCAAATGCCAAGTGCGAGCTGTAGAATTAAATCGCTCGAATAAAATGTCATCTAGAACATAGGCTGTGTTTGCCGGTTAGATGAAAATTGAGCTAGTGGGGGCGTGAAACGCTGACAGTAATTATTTTTTTGATGTTATGGAAATGTTTGTGGCGACTGAACAACGGGACCGGACAGCTGTTTCGTCCTCTTTGGGACTGGTGGGGAATGAACGATCTCCCAAAGAATGAAAACAACACGCAAGATAATCAACAGTGCCTAGTGTCTGTGAAAAACTGAATAGGCTAATATAAACATTCACCATTTAAAAAAGTAATAATCTTTCAAAAGAAAAGACCATATTGCAGTACTGGACGATTTCGCTGCATCTCAACGTGGTGCATACTGCAGAAAATGCAATTTTTAAAGATATATATTATCTTTCGCCTGATAGTTGGAGTAGTAAAATGATGAATCGTTGAAAAAATAATTCTTAAATTAGGAACCGTTCATCAATTTCATGCGCGATTTTGTACCAATAACCCTTGATTCATACTGCATTTAACCAGTCGATTTATTGCATTTCTGGCGTTCAGTGGATTACCCCTAAAAGACGCCTTGAATGTTAAACTACTGGGAATCAGTATCAGTAGTCAAAATGTTTATTTAAAAGATTTCTCTTTGAAAGCGCAGTGACAGTGCACTAAGTTTCCTTCATCTATATTTGGTAGATCGCTAGCGGAATGGCCTATCTGGAACAAGAAGGCTATATTCATCGTGATTTGGCGGCAAGAAACATTTTGGTCGGGGAGCACAACACTGTGAAAGTAGCCGACTTTGGTCTAGCCCGCATCATTGACGGAGGAAGTGAAACATACACAGCGAAACAGGTAAGCTCACTTGATTTATTCATGTACACCTAAAGTGTGCTTGTGCTTCACAAATGAAACTTGAATCAGACGTTGGCACTCGGTTTGGAATTTTATACCACCGAATCTTACGGAATCCCTTTTAAATGACAAGCCACTCTATAATCTAAACTTTAGGTATTCGCGAGCAAGGATTTAGCATTATGCCGTTACATTACAGTAAACTCCATTTTTTAAAAAGCAAGGGTTTAACCTTCAACATGAGGTTACAGTCAACATGCAATCAGGAGTTTCGATATGCACGGAGGTGACCCAATTCTATCTCAGCATTATTTTATCATTCGGTTTATAACAGAGTTGAAATGAATCTCCCCATTTTCGTGACTAAAGGGCTTTCTCCGTCTACTGTTCATCACACTGTGTAATAAAAAAACAGTAGTTACATAATTATCCAACGAAAAATATAAACATCCTTTAATGAAAACGAAACATACAGGAACACTATGTGTCTTAACCGAAATCGGGGAATCCGGGACTCCGAATAGCCATATTATTTTTGCTTTACAAACTACTATCCTAAAAATGGCTAGCCGATAGGCCTGGACCAGACGATGGCAATGTGGATGGAATTGTCTGTCTTTAGGTAATTGGCATTATTATCTTTCACGCGTGTCTGAGTCCAGATTGTAAGTTTAACAAATCGCGGTACAATAATCTGCATAAAAAAGAAAAGTGGCTCTTTTTTAAGTCGTTGAGCACAAGTATCATGATCAGATCGATCAATGGAAGTGAAAGACGAATCAGCAAGTGGCAAATTACTCACTATCTTTACCACGCTACCGGCAGTAATCAGGTTGGAGAAATTAAGACCTGTAGCCGATTCTTGGTCATCAGGCTTCCGATCAAGAGTAGTTGGAAATTTAAGTTTAAAAAAGATACCGATGGTAGCAACCGAACTTGTTGTAGTGCGCTTTGCACATCTTTCATACATTCGCTCAGAAGGCATAGTCCTAATCCCGCGCAGCTATTCTCGAGTGATCCATTCAATACCACTACTGTTCGACTGAGTAACCTAGGCGTTCTCCGATATTTTGCGTACGACAAAATTGAACGAAAATGGCGAAATAGGGCACTCTTGATGAACAACACCACTGATTGTGAACTTCTCCATTGGCCATAATTAAAAGAGATCTTCACAGTCAAATGAGTCAGACTTCCTCTTGGATCAGGGCACGCTGCGGTCGTTGGTTGACCGTCAGCGTGGCGTTACTCAAGCACTTGAAATTTGGTCAAAGCGACCGCGACCTGGTCGGAACCTGGCTTACCGTTCACTGGTAAATGATCACAGAAACTAATGCTGTTAATATACAGAATAAAGTTCATGTAGCTTTGGTTTACGCTTTCTTCGATTGATCCCTCCTTAAAAATGCAATAATCAATGATTTACCTCAGGGTGATAGGAAGAGTTCCTCTGTTTTGATTTTCGGCAGTAAAACAGCGTCTACGAGGGAATTACTGGCTATCCTGAAAAGCGATGTGAAGGAACCCGCTTGGTTTGGCTATTTTTCCCCTCTGAGTTATTCCGATGCAAATATATACTTTCATTTCCATTGAGGATCCATATAACACTAATCAGCTTCAACAGCCGGCGTATTCTCACCAGTGTCAAGTCGGCTGCATTGTTTTCTAACATAATCTTTCCTGCGACCAAGCGTATATCCCTGTGCAATTTGATCTTAGCTTGATCAGCGAACCGGGGTTGGTTACCAGCTGAAACACTCATGGACTCAGCCCGGAGACAGTGGCTACTACCAGTTTTAACGACCATTTTGGAAGCTTTTCGCGACTTGATGTTACAGACCTCATCTATTGACAAAATATTGAAAATCGGTTTTCGTAGCTCGGGTGAACTGAATTCCATTTCGCCTGTTCGCCGAGCTTGGCAATTTGTTTGCAAACGTTTCATCACCAGCCGAGGTGACATCATCAGTGCTTGTGCAGTGGCCCTGCCGCTTCACAAGCCCTGGTGATGTCACC